TTTCAAAAATTTTACCTTTGTTTTTAGTTTTTTATTTTCTTCTACAATAGCTTCATATTTCTCTTTCATTTCTGCCAATTCTAGGCGAAGCAGCTCTATTTCTGGATTTTCTGGGGTAGCAGCTCCTAAGTGATGCTTTAAAAAACTAATATCAAAGTTAAGAATTTACTTGAGCAGAGATCAAAATCCAAATACTCAAAGAAAGTAACATTTTCAGTAATCAAAAGTATTTTAAAGGTTATTATCTATGTGAAAAAATAAGAGTTCAAAAAAAAATAAATGCCTTTTTCTGACTTGAAAAATGAAAAGGATACTCCAAAGCACTATTAGGTTTCTCTGGTTCTTCATATAAGGCTACCAATACTGCAAATCAAAAAGCAGAAAAAAACAACAGTTAAAGTCTTAAATTTGAGCGGCTGAAATTATATTCCATACCCCAGTAAATACTAAGTGCCTGTTATACACCACACACATTGCTAAGACTGCCTGTACCACGGTGATCAAGACAGACAAGATCCTGCTATCAATGAATTTACAGATAAGCAAGAAACTAGATCAAAAAAAAAAAGAGCAAGTAGTGATACGGATAACAGGTTATGGGAGCACGCTGGAAGAACACCTAATTCAGCCTAGGGCACCGGGGAAATCTTCCCCAAGGAAGGGAAATAAGACCTGAGACCTAGGCAGTGAAGGTTTCAGATAAAAAGGGAAGGCCGAGGACAAAACAACAGCAGATTCAGGAACTGAAAATTCAAGTATGGCTAGATGGAGTTGTGGACAGTGGGGCAGGAAAGTAAGCTGGGACCGGTGGTCGGGGGAGACTGGAGGATCCTGCAAGTTCAGTCAGACCTTGACCCTAAGAACAATATGGCATATAATTAAGCAGTTTTAAGCAGGGGAGTGACAGGATCACTCCTGACTCCTGTGGAAGACTGACGAGTGGGATGAGGATTTAAAGGTAGGAAGACCAATTAAGACGCTGGTAAATCCAGCTTAAAAAAGTAGTAACCTGCACTAGAGTGACAGAGGGATGAAAACAAGGCAGATAAATCAGAAAAATTATGGAGAAAATCAACAGGGCTATGGGTAATTACTGGAAGGAAGATACTTTGAATTCAGAATGTTAAAGCTTTGAATTCAACATGTTCAAGAATGAAGTTTCATACACCACATGCTAAATAACCACCAGACAAAAACTTTACCAGTAGTCAGCCTGCTCAATCAATATTTAGATATATACTTCGTGGTTTCATATCCAATAGTTCGTGTCAGCACTACCTGTGTCATTTTATATGGAACAGATTCCTCCCAGGATGTACTACTCAGATAAAAATCTCTCTAAACCATTGGTTAATATTTCTGTTGCATGGAGCTCTTTGAAGAATCTCATAAAAAACAAAAACTGTGACGACACACAAAAAGTGTGCTAGACCCCAGGTTAAGAACTATTGTAAACCAACTTAGATGCTTTCCTTTTATTTTTTATTGTTTTTAATAATTCATAAATATAGGCAGTAGAAAAAAATCAAATAGGCAACTACTTCTAACAATTTATGTTCTGATAATTACTCTTCTAAATGTATTCACAGCACTATTTTTTGAGAAATTCATATATTTACATCACCACTACCCTCTCTTCTTTCGATGTTACAGTACACACTTTAATTCCTCTACTTATTACTTTTGTCTTTAAACTATAGGCTCAAACCTGTTCCTCCTTCCATTAATTTCCACTGATCTCTACCAAATCCTAATTTTATAAGACATGAAAACTCTTACCCTTTCTTCCTCCTCTTCCCTCACCCTTTGTTTTAGCTTCTAAATTTGTCAGTGGTACTTACAAGGTTGATAATTACAGAACATAAGGTAAATGTCAAGTTCCCTGTGCTTTTCTATAGATGAAATATACTTCGTTTTAATCAGACAAGAACTCTATACTCAGTGTTTTCCTTTTTGCCTTAGCAGCCAGGATTTTTAGAGGTTGATATAGTTCTCAAAATAACTAAAATGCTTCTTTTTCCAAATGACTTATCTTTATCTTTAGCCATCCTTATAATGTTTTAATGTTAGAAGCAGTTTCAAATCCTCTTGGAAATAAGCTGGATACAAATTATAAATTAAGTCTGTGTAAAGTACACAAGATCAAATCTTAAATAGATCACATCGGTAGGTACTCTGTTGTCTGATGTTACTTAGGAGACTGGAAATCTAGGGAGGCTGAGTGGAAATACCAGTAGATGTCAGCAAGGGAAAAGAAACCTCCAGTGGTGTCCAGTCTCTCATGAAGGAAAATCCATGTATGAGCACAGGGCTGTATATCTTCATTTACCTCCCACAATGGTCACATCTCTGCCCTTTCCAGTCTTTCATTCACTCCATCCAGCCATTCTGGCCTCCTTACTCTTCTGAAACTCTTGACATCATATTTCATTCAGGTCTCTGCTCAAATGTTATTTCTTAAGAAAAGCCTTTCCCCACCACCATATATAAAATGGCACACCCATCACTCTTTATTCCCTTTGCTATGTTTTTATTCACATAACACTTACCATTGGCTGACACTAAGTGTTTATCTGTCTCCCCCAACTAGGGTATAAGCTCATTTAGAGCAGGGACTTTTTTTTCCCCACTCTGTTGTATCCCCAGTGCCTAGAACAGAGACCTGAATTAAATGGATAAATAAATGAAAGAAATGAGCTTGTGGAGTTTTGTTTTGTTGGGGGTAAGGGGGAGATTGATGAAATTACAAGTCTGTGATCCTTCCGGAGAGTCAGCACAGTGTTTTCATAGAGGCTCTTAATGTTCACTGAAACTTATTAGCAAAGAGATGGGAAACTAGTACCTAAGGTAGGTAGCAGTTCAAAATTACCAGCCCATGCTTCGGAATTAAAAGCCCTGCTTTCTGCTAAGATCCAGAGTTGTTATTCTCCCAGAATTTTCTCCTAACTTTTGCTTCTGGCCAAAGAGTAGTTACCAAATTATTACCACTTACTATTCTCATATGGACCCAGATCATCATTCCTGCCAGCTCTTCTGTTCGACGTCCGTGAGAGTCCCAGCCAGTAAGTGAGTGGGACATAATGGGCATTCACATTACTGCTTATTAGCAGTACCCACACTATCTCTTGGAACCCTCCAGTTTCAAGCACCTTATTCCTCTTAGATCTTGAACCCCAGAGTGAGAGATGCAGTGTAACAGCTTCCATTTTAAAAAATGAAAATATAACCATTTTGATGTGCCCTCAAGTTCTTTAAACTGTAATTCCTCTTAATTATTAAATCTGTACAAAGTGCGAATTGATATAGAATACAAAACGGGGTTCATTTGAAAAGCCATAGCCAAACCGCTACTTCGGGAATTAGGTTCATTTAGCTACTTTATAGCCTGCTTTCAAATCTGGTCACTTTTCCACTTGACCTCTGTTCGAGGGAAAATATTTCTGTACAGTATTTTGAGGACTCCACAAAAACTGTCAGGAGAGAGGACTTGGGCTCTCAAGGTCTTTAGCAAGCATGCTCACTGCGGCTGCTCGAGGCAAAGCAATGGAAGTTGGAGGGACTTTGCAACAGCTGCAGGAGTTTCACTCCCCGCGGGGAGAGCGGTAGCCTGAACGAGGCTACCCTACCCGGGCCGCGTCCGGCAGCCAGGCGTGCGCCGGTCTCCGCTGAACCCCGAGGCCCCCCTCGCTGGACCCCAGACGGGTCCCACCTGTTCTCCTTCCCCACGCCACGGCCCGTCAGGGGCGCAGCGCCGAGGAGCACGACGAGGGCACGAGGAACCCTCTCCTGGCCCATGCTCACCCTTGGTCAGCGTGTCCAGCACCCCCGACTTCTCCAAGTACCTCCGGAACTGCTCGCGCTTCGAGTCGGCGGCCTGAGGAGACACGGCGGGTCAGCGGCCGAAGCCCGGGGGCCGGAGCAGGAGAAGGCGCTGGGAGTCCGGCAACCCCGACTCCGCCTCGCTACCTCAAGCCCCCAAAACCTGCGCGCGCGCGCCCCAACTCCCACCCGAGCCGACCAGCGGCTGGCTACCGCCCGCACTCCCCCCAGCCACGCCGCGCCCCCCTCACTTTGTAATAGGCCATAGTGACAGCGGCAGCGGCGTAGCTGGCGCCCGAAACCGTGGCTGGCGGGCTCGGAACAGCACTGCTCGTGCGCAGAAGGGCTCCCGCGCCTGCGCACTTGCGAACCACGGCCCGGGACCGCCGGGGTGTGGCCTGTTTTCATGGCGACCAGGACGCTCTGAATGCCCCATAGTGGGCTGAGCTGAAGGAGGCTGCGTATGCCCGCCCCTCTGGCTAGCGAAGCAGTACCTCTCTTTCCTTTTCCGGTCCTCGCCGCAATTCGGTTGCTTAGCGGGAGGCTAGGTTTTGGTAACTCGGGACTAGGGGTCCAGGTGGGGCCAAAGGTGGACGTGGCGCCAGGGAGTGGGGCCTGTGGAGCCTTGGGGCTCTTGGACTGAACCCACAGAGGAGGGTCTCCCGACACCGAGAGTGGGCGGACCTGTCTCAGCTGGAACCTCAGGAGCTGTGGCGACCTGTCTGAGCTGGCTTCTCTCTCAGCCGACGAGAGCAACCCTTGGATTTGCAGTGGCTTGAGGACTGCTTAGAATCGTATGTTTCGACTCCCATCTTTTACGTTTGGAGTCTCCTTGTTTTGTGGCCGGCTCAATGTGGGCTCCGGAGGGTAAGCAGTAACGTGCGAATAATAGCTAGCACTTTTGAGCGCTTTTGTGTGCCTAGCAGTGAATTAAACACATATGTTTCTTATTTTAATCTTGACACCATCCCTGTAAGGTGGATACTGTGAGTAAACTAGCGAGGTCAGATGACCAGCGAGTAGCAGAGCTCAATCTTCCAATCCTGGCACTGAGTCACGATGCTATAAACTGGTGAAAGAAAGAGACCGATCTTTTTAAGATTTTATTTACTAGATAGCGGTTATAGTCAAGACACATCAAGGTTCCAGTCTATAAGGAAACTAAGTTAAGTCGCAGGGGCAAACAAAATTTAACCAGTGTCCAAAAATAAAAGATTAATAACTAAAAGAAGGAATTACATAGACCAAGAACAATCTCCGAAGCCTGTACTCCCTTCAAGGAAAAACCGGGTTCCATTTAACTTCAGTTCTGAACATAAGATTTTCCCCAAATCAGTTTTCACATACTTTGAAGGGAGCCCCGTGAAAAAGTAATCCTGATTTGGTAACTCTGTGTCTTTGAATTTGAAACCACTCCTTCCCAATTCAGAATTAGAGCCATTGTCCCTTTTTAAAATGGGTTTGCTGTTGTCTGTCTAAACACCTGGTCTTTAGAACAGCCATTATCTGTATCGTCTGTGTTCCACCATCACTAGGCTACTTCTATGATAATATAATATGTAGAATGTGTAAAAGCCAACAGCTGTTCAGATTTGAAGATCTGTGGGAGCCCGCCTACCAGTGAGGTTGTTTGTCAGTGACACTAAAGGATTTGGAGAACAAGCAGTATGGTTATTGCAGCTTCTGACCAACTCGGATTCAAAAGACAACCCTCCCAAAGAATCAGGAGTGTCTGGAGTGTCAAGTGGTTGGAAGCCTCCCTGTGAAGGAGCAAGGGTTCTGATAGTGCTCTCTCTCAGCTGGCCCTTGAGGTTACCTTTAGGAGGTAATGCCTGGTTTTCATTTTCTGCAGAGGGACCGTATGTAGCACGAAGCCATTTCGGTCTCCAAGTGCAGTTAGCTGGCAGAGAGAAAACTGTTTGGGGTGACTGCCCTGTGCAGTTGTTCAGATCTATAGCATCACCTGGAATAGAACAGTGACCTCTAGAATAGTGGTCCCTTTTCCTGTCTTTGCTTTCAGTTTCTCTTTTTTCCCTCAACTGGTCACCATGAACTTCTTTTCCAGATATTTTATGAGTGTCTTCTTTATTACTTGAGCTGATGTTTTGAAGATGACTACAGGTAGTCCTAGGTGTGCACATCTCATTAGAAAGTACAGTTTCCTCTTCATCCAAAATGCCTTTCTCATCATTTCTACTGTGATTATCAGGGTCTGTCTGAAATGCAGATGAATTTAAACTAGGGTACACTGCTGTGTGTGTTTGCTTGTCCACTAACAGGCTGTAATCAGGTGCGGAAGAGAGTCGTTTCAGTGAATTTGCAGATGTGTTTTGATATTTGGCAAGGTTTTGTTTTGATTTGTTTGTACAGAATTCATTATGTTCATCCTTCAATTTATATTGTCCCCAAAGCCCCCTTTTAATCTTTTTAAAACCTAGGTGGAAAATTTCTAGAACATTTAGGAAAAGTGAAACAGTAGCTATGGATTGCATAAATAATAGGAATATCGTCTTTTCTGTGGGTCTTGAGACAAAACAGTCAATTATATTTGGACATGGGTGGCCATGGCATTTAAATAGAGGCTCTAAGTGAAATCCATATAAAAGATACTGTCCAATCATGAACCCAACTTCAACCACAGAGCGAGTGAAAATGTGTATCACGTAAGTGCAAAGCAAGGTTCCTCTGAGTGGAGCTTTACTTAGTTTCCTTTGCTCCAGCTGATAAAGTTCTTGCTCCAGTCTCCTCCGGTCTCCAGGCAGTTCAAGCTCTACCCACTCCAGTTCTCCTCTCAGTTGAGCTTTCTTCATCTGCCTCTCCTTCTCCAGAACTCTCAATCGGTACAAAGCATGGCCCATGTACACCAGGGATGGTGAAGACACAAATATCACCTGCAAAACCCAGTATCTAATGAGGGAGATAGGAAAGGCCTGATCATAGCATACATTTCTGCAGCCGGGCTGTTCCGTATTACAGATGAAGCCAGACTGCTCATCATTCCAGACATCTTCAGCTGCTACACCCAGAACAAGCATCCGAAATATGAACAGGATAGTGAGCCAGATCTTTCCAATCATGGTAGAGTGCATGTGAACTTCCTCCAGGATGCCTCCAAGGAAATTCCAATCCCCCATGCTTATTTAGTCAGCCATCTTAGCTCTGAACCCCATCAAATAGGCAGATAAAATCTTCCATTCTGAAGGGCGTGCTGTTTCTTAGGCAAACCTACAGCCAAAATATGAACAAAGTATCACTAAGCATGCTGGTTGCTCTACTTTTTCCCTAGAAAGTTGTAATCAGTTACAAGAATGTGTTTAAGATGACAGAAATTTAAAATCATTTATGTTTAGAACTTACAATGCAATGAAAAAAAAAAGATACCTGGAGGTGAGGTGTATATATTCTCTATGAGGAATAAAATTGTAGGAGTCCCTGTAAGGAATCTTACGTGGCTGAAGTTTGTTGTTGTTTTACTTTTTTAAACTGAGAACTTTGGAGAGGTTCCTAAAACGACTGAATTGATCTTACAAACCTATTTATTAAGATTATTGTATATAAAAGCTATAACCAAAGTCAGTGATTTTAAAATTTCATTTATGCACAAAGGAAAATACATGTACGTGTTTCATTTCATAATCCAGTAAGGCACAGCATTTAACGCAACCAAAGGAAATGGATCTGGCTCTTGCTATAAGAATTTAGATTTGTTTTTTTAATCCACACTTAAATGTCTAAATTCTGGTTTCTTTTTGCCAGTTTTGAGCATTTTCAGAAATCATTTCAGTAATATGTTTATGGATTTTTATAAAATTATTACTATACTTTTTATAAAATTATTACTATACTTGGCTGTGAAAAATTCTGTAAATATTTATCATCTTAGAATGAACTCCAAAAGTTCTCAGCTATTTTGTACTACCAGGATATTATTAGATATTATTTGAAATAAATGGATCATTCTTGTGGTGGTCATGTTAGAGAAATTTTCATTTTAACAGTATTTGACCTTTTTAAGACATGTGGCTTGCTTTGTGGAGGGAGCAGTGGGGTGAGTTATAATTTAGATGCTTGGATTATCAGCCAGTAGGCTCCATATAAGTTGATACCCTAGGATATCTAAGAGGAAATACATCCCAAAAGAAAGAAACAAAGTGAAGGGTTTTCATTCACTTTCATTTAAAATATAAATGTATGTCCTACATCTCTTATAGAAAGGGAAGTGCTACATAATCAAACAACATACTGAGATATTACAGTTACAAGATACGTTCATCACAAAAATCCTATGAGGTAGATATGTTGTTTCCCCATTTTGCAGATGAGGCACACCTTAACTTACCCAAGGTCACACAGCTAGAATTGGCATTCAGACCCAATCATTGTGGCTCTAAAGTCAGCTCTTAACTGTTTAACTAAACTGTTATTTTTCCCTCTTTAAGCACATTTGAAATTTTCATGAAAGAGACATTAAAAAAATCAGCTGTTTTCTGTTTAAAGTTTATTTAAATTAGGTATGTCAAATAGTGATAGTTTTGACTTTTTAAATAATGTGTTCTAGAGTCTTTAGTTCCTTTTTTAAAGCTTTATGTAGTTAAAAAGATTTGCAAAAGCATCAGCCTTCTAAAATTCAGTTGTATTCCTGAGATAGGGAAAATTTCTTTGACTTTATTATGTTAATAATAGCATACTCTTTGACCCAACAATCCAAAGCACTTTAAAGTGTGAGCAAAGATATTATTTTTGTTGTTGTTTATAATAATCACAACTTGAAAACATCCAAAATAATTATCACTACAAGAAAGACTGTATTGTACATATAAATAATAGTACATCCACAGTGTGGTACTATGCAGCCAGTAGAAATAATAAATATATAAACAAAAGCAAAACAAAATTTTGTTATATTGTTTCAGTAACATTCAGGTTATAAAATAGAATAGTGTGGCCCCATTATTGTAAATTTATTTGTATGTAGAGATGTATACAATAAAGCCTGGCAGGGTATTCATCAAAATATTAATTATGATTATCTCTGGGCAGCGTGATTACAATTGACTTAATTTTTTTATAATTATATATACTTAAATTTTTTTTTTTACCATGAGCACTTTACTTTTATAATCACAAAAAGAAAGAAAAAATTTTTTTCCATAAAGGACAAAACTATGGTATTTGCTGGAAGAAGTAGTAGTATTTAGCTACAAATCTTAGGTTCTCAAGCTTTCATAGCAAATGACATGAACACTCGTATACATCGATACAGTACTATAAAATTCAAAAGAAAAAGAAAAAAACATTTCAAATGACTCTTAGATATCTAAAACAGAGAGATTAACACAAACCTTTCTGGATTGAAGCAGATCATGCTTAAAAGTTATACCACAGCCATCTTCAAATTATTGTCTGAAAGCTTGTCCCCTTCACAGGTGTAGAGCAGATTCAGTTTGGTTCAATGTGGTGAATGAGTCAGCCATCAGCTAAAATCCATTTCCCTCTCATCACTCTTCTAAAACAGTGCTATCCAGTAGAACTTTTTGCAGCAACGTTGAAGTAGACTCTATCTGCGCTGTCCAATAAGGTGCCCACTAGCAACGCATAGCTACTGAGTACTTGCAATGTGGCTGGTGTAACAGAGGATCTGAGTTTTTAATTTTATTTAATTTTAATTAAATTTAAAGAACTACCTGTACCTAGTGGCTACATTATTGGGCAGCACAGATGAAGAATAGTTCCCATATTTCTAATAAGACAGCACAGTTTAGAAGACTAAAATGATGAGCCCCAAATTAAGCCGAATAAATGGTTCCTCTTTAATTCAGAGATGTCAAATTTAAAACACCAGATGTTTGTGTGTGTATTTTTAATGGTAATTTTGTCCCCTGGGGAACCCAGTAAGTTATCACTTTTTGATAATGTGAATGGTGTTTCTAGTACCAAAAAACTCTAACTAGATGATAACTTCTTAGTCATCAGTCTTAATAATCAATGGGTCATGCCCAATTTCAAAGTTAGATGAATCCTGTTTCTCTTGTCTAGTTTTCTATTATTAACAATTATGTTGCACTTTAGGTCATTAAAGATCTCTCTTCAGAGCTAGTGACCTGGTGGGCTGGTGATGGCAGATGAATATTTCTTCCCTGAGCTTCTTTGCCAACCAGTAGCTACTTTTCAGATTAAATACAAGTCTTTCATCAGGGAAAAAAGTTTATATATTTTTTTCATATTTGTACATTATGTCTTATATAAATTACACATAAATTACTAATAAACTTAAAAAACACTATGCCTCATTAGTAGTCAGAGAAATACAAATTAAAATAAAGTATTATTTTTTAACTATCAAAATGCAAATTTTCCCAAGATTTATAATACCTGCCTTTGCCAAAAGTATGAGGAAACCGTTAATTCATATGCTATCTGTAAGAATATAAGTGGTACAGTTATTTAAAAGGCAGTCTAAATTGGTCAAAATTAACATTTCTGCTTCTGGATGCTTGAACTATTCATTCATTCACTCTCAAAGACACACTGCACATACTAGGATAGTACATGGTAATAGTACAAAGTCAGCAACAACTTAAGTGTTCAACAGAGGAATGGTTAAATAAACTATAATACATCTTTATCATTCAGCAATTCAGAGAATAAAGGTCTCTATGAACTAACAGAAAGACCCCTAAGTCATTATAAAACAAGTTACAGAACAATCTATATAATGTGAGCTCATTTATCTTGTTAAAAACCCATATTTCGTATATTTAAATAGCTAAAACAGCAAGATTAACCCAAACCTCTCTTAGTTTAGGTGAATTTGAGGAGCCGGAAGTTATACCACCGTCGTCTTCAACTTGTTCTGTGAATTTCTCTCCTTGGGGGTGCACAGCAGACTCAGTGCCCTTCAGTGCCATGAGTGAGTCAGCCATCAACTGAAATCCATTTCCCTTTCTGCTCATCTAGGGTAGAAAAAGGTCGGGGAGAATACACACCCGACTGGTGACAGTGGTCATCACAAGGGAAAAGAGCAGGTTTGGGGTGGAAAGGTAAAAGGAATTCTTATCGTTGAAGTTCTTATAAAAATCTTTGTTTCACCAAGAACATACTTATATTCTCATACTCAAATTTAAAAAAAAAATTTTAACAAATCCCAGATCAGCTTTTCTCTAAATGCTCAAATACTGCTTTTCTCACTATATCTAATTAAGCAGGTATCCGCCTTTCACAATCCAGCAACATGTTTAGATGGGTGTTTATAAACAAAACACGTTGATGATTAAAGAAGGAAAAAATGTATTTTCTGTGTTCAGATGACCTAAAACTACTATTTTCGAGAAAGAGTGGCCAGCAATCTGGATTCTATACAGGAAAAGCACACAAGCATCTCAGCTTTCAGATATAATGTTTTGCCTTTTGTAAATAAATCGTACACACTCTGAGCACATGAAAGATGAGATCTTATCATAGATCTCCAAAGGAGTCCAGGAACATGGTTTGCACCAGAAAGACAATTCCATTTCCTTGGGATGCTATACACCCTATTAGAATCTTAAACTAGCAGTCCAGAGAACTCACTCTTCTTCTATAAGGTATTTCCACCATTTCTGTGTACCCACAGAAATGTTTCTTCCCCTACTCCCATGATACTGTATTTGGGGAACACAGCGCCTGATAGACCGGGAGGGCAGGAGGGTATGGGCTTCCAAGTCATTACCAACCTTTAAATCCTGCCCTCTCTTAGACAACTTATTTGATTTTTTAAAAAGAGTTTCCATGTCCTCATCTCTAAGATACAGAGGAAAGCTACCTTTCTGAGCTGTTAAAAAAAGATTAGCAATAATGCATGTGAAACACATCAGACAGTGACCTATCGACTTGAACAGTGATCGAAAGTGATAATCAATAGTCTGACAGAAATGAAAAGATTTTATTATCAGCATAGTACGTTATTTGTGAATTCTACCAAGCAGTCTCTAATTATATCCTCCCAGGAGAGCAAGTCTCTTTTAAAGGATAAGTACCAGCACAACTCATGCCTGGGAAAGAGCCAGTCTCTGGTCTCACTTCCCTTCCCTTTTCTCTCTTCCTCTTCCCCCCACCCCATGCACTCAGAAGAGCCCCTTCCTTGAACCCTAATTCCTTTTGTAAGCAGTCTTCGAAACTGACAACTTCAGGGGTGTTTTGTCCTCTTTATAAAATTACTAGCATTTGCTGGGACTTCTCTGTTTTCACAGAGTTCTTCAGTTTTTCTCCCAGATGGCTCTTTTTATTCATTGGTTTGTGTTAGGGGCGAGTCAGTTCGCTGGGGATAGGAAAATGTTGAAAAATACAGCAAATAAGACGCAAGCTAAATAAGCTGCAATGGCTATCCAGAACCTTGGGTCTTTCAGCAGTGCCTTATCAAAGCAGCTGAACACGGTGTAGCCTATGGACATTCCAGCAAATCCACCTGCGATGTGAGCTGCAAAAGACACCTTGGGAGAAAAGGGAGGGAAAATGGAAGTAAGCGAAGAAAATGCTAATTGCATATTTCAATTGCATCTCTCTTATTAAAGAACAAATACCATCCCAGCCAAACAAGAGTTAAAAGTCTCAGGGAAGGACCAATATTATATGATATCACTTTTATGTGGAATCTAAGAAAATAATACAAGTGAATCTATTTACAAAACAGAAACAGACTCAGATGTAGAAAACAAACTTACAGTTACCAAGGAGTAAGGGCAGGGGGCATTAATTAAGAGTATGAGATTAACAAATACACACTACTATGTATAAAATAGATAAGCAACAAGGATTTACTATATAACATAGGAAACAACATTCAATATCTTTTAATAACCTATAATGGAAAATAATCTGAAAAGTGTATATATAAAACTGAATCACTTTGCTATACACCTGAAACTAACACAATATCGCAAATCAACTATACTTCAGTTAAAAAAAAAAATCTTAGAAGTGTGACAAGCAAGGAGGTGAGGGAAAAAGAGATCCAAAACTCCACGTGCACAAAGAGAAGGAGATATTCTAAAACATGCAAAGCTGAAAAAAAAATGTCCTTTCACTGCTGCGCTGAGTACACAAGACAGCCGTCATTTCTCATTCTTTTCAGCTGTCTCTGCATTTAGGATGGTTCTACATAATGCCAACCAAGAGAGAAAGAGTTGAGGCACTGTGAGGGGTCTCTATAGGAGCATGATCTGTCTAAATTAAGACACAGATAGTACACACAGAAATACTCAACTGGAAACTACCGAATTCAAAGACTAATTCCAGTAATACTGGACATCTTTGTCAGTTTTCTTTAGATTGTTAATTCATCTGGACCCCAATTATTGCTGCTCTCTAATCTGCGTTTTATTCCCTGTGGACCATGAAGTCCCTTCTCTCCTGTTTTGAAAGAGCCACCACCGTGGCAAGTACAAAGAAGCAAAGCCAGAGAGGACAGAGAAGTCAGGGCTATGACAGCGAGAAGCCAAAAGAACAATCCAAACGTCTGATTACCTCAAGAATTTTCTTAACTTCCCAATGGAAACGTGACTGCCCTAAACCAGTTATTGCCCCCATTTTTAAGTTCTTGATATGATAAGTTAAACATATTTTCACTTAAAAAAATAAATAAATTTAACTCACCGGGGACCCGTTTGCAGGGACAAAGAACCTTCTGTAGAGCGCAAATCCCATATCCGACAAGACTAAAAGGGAAAAGAGCCGGATGAAGCCCCAGGGTCTCCACAGCAGGGCACCGGTTGTTTTCGGTTCGCCTCTAACGACAGTGGCAGCTAACATTTATTGAGGTTACTCTGTGCCAGGTATTGTTCTAAGAGCTTTATGTGGACTAACCTTGTATCATTAATCCTCACGAAATAGGTACTATCTTTATCCCATTTTATAGACTTATGTATACAATAAGTATTTATTATCTCCTATGTGCCAGGCTCTGTTCTAGGTGGTGGAGATACTGCAGTGAACCGATCAGACTGCCTCATGGAGCTGATGGTCTAATTGGGGAAGGCAGACGAACAAGTGAAACATACACTATGTCACACAGTGCTTAGTGCTACAGAGAACAGGCAGAAAGAATGAGAATTGGGAATGCTGGGAGTAGGGTGTGATTTTTTTAACAGGAGAGTTGGGGAGTAGCTCAATGAGAATATGGCATCTGATGGATGAAGGACCTTTGAAGTCAGGGTCTTCCATGCAGATTAAAGCACCAAGTCCCTAAGGCAGGGCTGTGCCTGGTGTGTTTGAGCAGTTGATCCTGCTGCATAGGTGGATTTCAAAGTATGGTTCTCTTCCCCCCCGCTGGGGATCCCAGCATCACCTGGGAACTTTAATTAGAGATGAAGTCTCAGGCCCACCCCAGACTTGTTGAACCAGAAACTCTAAAGGTAGGGTTCAGCAGTCTGTGTTTGAACAAGACCTCCCAGTGATTCTGGACTAAAGTCAGGGATCAAGTAGTAGGTGATGCAATCAAACAGGTAGCAGGGGACAGATCGTGTAAGGGGCCTTAGGGACCATTGTAAGGACTTTGACCTTTACCCTTCAAAAGCTTTTGAACACAGGAGTGACATGATCCGACTTATGATTTTAAAAGATGATTCTGGCTGCCTTATAGAAAATAGACTATAAGGGAGCAATTATAGGAGCAGGCATACCAGCTAATTACTGCTATTGCAGCAATCCGAGTGAGGCATGATGGGCATTTCATACATAGAGAAACCAAGACACAAAGGTCGGGTATTTGCCCAAGGCCACAAAGCTCAGAGCTGGTGGTGGGATTTGAACCTTAAGCAGTCTGACTGGGGGTTTCCATTCTCACCCACCACACTAATCACCTCTAATTGCCACCAGGAGTACAGAAGATAGGCCAGGAGAGGAAATGAGTCCATATTCTCTTAGAGCAGTGAGAGCCAGAACTTGGACATTCCTCAGATCAGTCAGATCTGTGATGCTAAAGGAGCTTCCGGGTTTCTTGGCCTAGAAGAACTCTGCCCTACATGTGCTCTTGGAAACATCTCCTGCAGCTATCACATTCCACACCCATCCCCCAATCCCAGTCCCCTGTGCTCTACTTAGTGAGTGTCCCCAGAGATGGAAAGACCTAGTCCTTGCCTTTGGGAAAATAGCATCGGGACCATGTGTTCTGGCTAGTTTCCCTTTCAATACGATATTGACATTGACGTCACTGGATAGAAATTGAGGTCGAGGAAGTACTCAATATTAATTTAACTGTAAATGACTGTCACACAAAATGCTAGATATATGTGGTCGTATTGTATTTTCGATCATCATTTGCATTTTCTGATCCAGTGGAAATAACAGAAATAGGTCTTGGAAAGTATGAGTAAACCACTGCTGGAGAACAGGGCTGATTTCCTGCAGTAACTTTGGTCTAGTCTTCCATGAGTAGGAGGCCTCCTTTCAAACCCTCTTTGTAACCCTCAGCATGTCTGTTTCTCCATTCCACTTCTCTCTGGGTTTGGCCCCTTCCAGCTTATCTCTGCCTGGCCCTTTCTGTTTTCCAAGGGGAGTTTACTTCTAAGTTGCTGCAGTCTCTAAACTGAGACTTATCTTCCCACCTGAAAAGAAGCCCTCATTCCAATAAACCAAATCATTGTCCTCAATAAAACTGGACACTCATTTTAAGGGAGTTGCCTTTATATGGATTTTTTTGGAAGGATGAAAATGTGAGATTTCCTGAACTTTTTCCGGGAAAGCTCAGTTGCTTTGTTGGAAAATACATCCAACAAACAATGCTTAATGAAGGAAGGTCCTTAAGGCCAACTGTCCTTTACAATTAAGAATAATATTTACCATTTAAAAAAAAAACTATACACTTTCCCAAGGAAGTGTGTTTAAAATTAAGATGTATATGCATTTGATTAATCTGGAGTTTGCTGTAACTTCTCTCATTTTCAGTAGTGGGTAAACCAGGCCAAAGAACTTTTAGAAATGTTGTCTGGGGAGTGTTGACGTTAGTGTGTCCTACCTATGTTTATAGGATCTAATAAAAGCACCTCATTCAGTGACTTCATGACTTACTTCAAGAGTGACATAATGTTACATAAACTACATTGGGAGCTAGCCCTGTGCAAGAGTATTAAGAATATTAAAACCATTTCCCCATTGAGGGTTTGAGGCTTATTTTACAAAAAATCATTCATAATTACCTGAAGGAAGCAGACTGACTGAAGACCCAGGTGACTTACGTAATAATAGTTTTCTATCTTGTCCCTTGGCTCTGGTTATTGTGTGCACAGCGGGGCAGACAGTTGGTGAGCCAGTGGCACGTGGGTTGGTAAAAGAATTTACCAGAGGTTAAGTATAAAAATAGAAAGGAGCTTATTAGGGTACACTGCCATAGGCAACAGCGAGCCACACAGGCGAGGGGTGCCTGCATGAGCCCCAAGGGCAGGTTATTGGGGTGTTTTATAAGGTCGGGTCACAAGGTGCCTGACTGGCTTGTATGCAAGTCTCTGATTGGCTGTAGTTGAGGTAAAAGGTTTAGGGTCCTTGAAGGGTGGTGGGGTTTGATAAAGTAGGCATTACTTGGGGCTGTTTGTTAGGGGAAACACGCCCAGTAAAGAATGTACTTTATCTGAGAGCCCAGAAATGGGGATCGTTTGATTTTAAAGGACGTCAGTTGGCCCGATGGTTATGACTCTTAACAACTCAGGCGGCTCTGTCCAGCCAGCCTCTCTGCTAACTCCCAGACACTTGCTCTCCTTTCTGTGCTGACCACTTTCCCTCACTTTTTGGATTTCTTACAGGGAAAGAAAGAAACCAGAAATAAGTCACTTCTTTTCTCTGAGGATGAAATATTATTTTTACAGTTAAACTGGTCACAAACTAAGTTGAGTCTCGTTCCTTGAAGGTAGTTGCCCCTATTCCCACAAGGCGGTAACTGAACTCTTGATACCAAGTAGCAGAATCATTTTTTCTTACCATGTGGACAGCCAGAATCTTAGCCTGTGTCAAGTGTCACCTCCGTCTTGCCCTTCAAGACTGACCCCACAGCGTGACCCCAGGGCCTGCCTTCTCCCCACATCCTCCGTGCAGATTCAGCTTTAGCAGGAGCAGGTCCAGAAATCAAATTATCAGCCCTGCCTTTGCTCTTGTTTTTTCCTACTGTGGATGACTTGCCACCAGCCAAAATCCTGACTCTCAAACGCAGCTAAAATTCCACCTCCTCTCCAGCTTGAACGTACTTCCTAAGCTCCTCTAGCAGGTATTTCTCCACTATAATCCTTGGGGATGTCAAAAGCCACACTGTGAGAAGACAGGTTTGGGGGTCCCCAGAGAAAGAGAACCAGGCATGGCTGTCTTGACATAAGAGAACCCATTCTGGCCTAAGCCATTTTGTGATCTAAGCCTGGCTACAGTGCTTGCCCTTGAACGGGTCTCCGTAATTGATGATCTTAAGGGAACCAAGGAAGGCAGAGAAGGGGGAGTCAAACAATAGTACAGTGATGAGGCAGAGGCCTAGGTCCTCCTCCAGGGATGTACATAATAATATATCATTGAGTTCTGCTGGAACCAAGGCCCCACCCAGGTAGAGGATGGAATGATGGTGTAGACCCTCCGGACTTCAGTCAATTAAGACTTGGACTCTTGTTGACCTTTTACCCCAATTCTATGCTGAATTCTCCGCTGCTCAAGCCCCTTCATGAATATGCATGTATCCTTAGCTTAAAACTTCCCCAGTTTTCCTGTTCGGGGAGACACTGCTTTAGGAAATACCACTGGTGTCCTTGCTGCAAGTAATAAATCCTTCCTCCTCCTACTCTCTGGTGTGGGTTTGTCTATTGGCTCCACACCCAACAAGAAGCAAACCCAGTTTTCAGGTATCATCATTCATCCTTCTGGCTCCCTGACCCTTTCAGTTCCTTCACCTCTGCTCTCATCTTCAGTCCTCAGCCACCACTCCCTGGTTATATCCTAGATCGGTTTGTTGGTAGTTTTTTTTTTTTTTTTTTAACCTGAAACTTAAGAAATTGAGGAAGAAAATAGATTATATCAATGATTTTCAAACTTTCCCTTTTCAGACAAAATCATATACAGAATCCAATGTATGAATAAGAAAATTCCACTATATAAAACATAAATGATGTTATTGTGATTGAAGTAGACAGAATGCCTAGGGCGCTACTCTCTTGACTCCCCCACCCCAGAAAGAAAAGGCCCCTCTAAGAGCCACTCACCAGGGGCTGTGAAAATTCCATTCACAACTTCTGCTCAGGGCTCTGGAGCTGACAGTTCTTTCTGACTGTAAGCTAGCGTTGTGCTGCATGTTAGTATCAAGGAAGATGAGCTGGCCTTCTGAAGGCTGAACCAATAAAACTGAAGGTGTGAAGTGTATACAAAACACACTTACTTATAAGGATGATGATCAGTAGTCTGACAATTCCAAAGGCAGGAATCATTTCTCGAAAATTCTTGCAAAGAGAGATAGATAATAATAATAATATAAACCATCTGTTGGCAAATGAAACCTCACCTGTACTCCCCCTTCATCTACTTTTTCCTTTAAAATAAAGTGTGAGTGTCAGATATTTGCAAAACAAAGCATCAGTGTTACAGCCTAGTTTTCAAATGTCTTTGGGAAGTACAATGCTGGCGTATTTTGGAGAACAAAGTAATACCTGAGATTTAACTCCTTAGTATAAACTATACACTATTTTATTAGGAAGAAATAATCTAAATATAAGTAATATAAAGTTAACACTTAACACGTTATAGATAGATAGATGGTATCAAACTAAATCTGATGAAATATTTCCAAATTTCTTGGTTAATATTCACTTGATACACCTTAATCCTCTTTTTAAGTAGGAGTTAGCAAAGACTTCACTAAAATTTGAGTATTACTTTAATTTTTTTACATAATTTCAAAAAAAATTTAAATGTTGGTGCAAAAATCCCCGTTTGATTTTAGCTTTGAAAAATCTCAGACCAGCTTGCAGTACCCTCATGTGTTACTAGAGGACTGATCAGACTCAAAAAGACACTTCCACTTCAACCTGAGTTACCTCTCCCTGCCCTTTCAAGTTATTAACTCTCTTCCCAAGAGTAAAGATGCTGAAATAGCTGTGTTTATTCTAAATCAATTATTTTCAATCTGTCATGACCATGACCTACAGTAAGAAATAATTTATATAACAATCCAGTATACACATACACTAAATCATATTTACCCTTATTTCACATAATGCAAACTGAAATTTTTGTTTGTTAAATTTTTGGTCACAATCTCTTGAACTGAGTTCCAACCACTAATGGGTTGCAATCCAAAGTTTGAAAAACATTTTTCTAAATGACTTCTATTTTTGGAACAGTTTTGTAATTGCTTCTTATTTTTCTCCCTAGAGTATTTTTAAAGCATATCTACATGGTTAAAGGGTTAATAACTAGTTAAGATTTTAGCCTGTTTTTAAAAGTGGTTGACATCTCACATGCTATATCATGAGCCTGTAAAACGATATGCACAACCTTGGAGGCATTTATCTATGAAAAGGTAAAGCCTTCATCCAGTAAATCCACTTCTAGGAATTTACCTACAAAAAGAATCACACAGTCGCAAAAAGGGTAAATGTGAAAGCACATCCCTTACAGCATTATTTGTGGATGTGAAAAGCACCCCAGATTTTTTTTCAATGAAGGATTAGATAAGTCAGGATACAGCTATATAAAGGATGCTAAGGAGCACTTGAAAAGATTAATTTGGATTTCTGTGTTTTGACATGAGTAGATGGTGAGGACACTTTATGTTAAGATGCAGAACAAGGGGGAGGTATAGCTCAGTGGTAGAGTGCTTGCCTAGCATGCACGAGGTCCTAGGTTCAATCCCTAGTACCTCCATTAAAAATAGACACATAAAAACCTAATTACCTCCTCCCCACCAAGAAAGAAAGAAAGTCCTTTTTTAAAAAAAGATGCAGAACAATATAATGGTGGTTCCACTTTTGTAGTATTACTATTGGTAGAATTTTGAATATGTATAGAAAATGTCTGAAAGCATGTATATCAAACTGTTAACATAATGAATTGGAGATTTTGACTTTCTATTTTTCAATTTAAAATTTTATTTAGTATTGATTACTTTTGAGATTAGAGGAGAAAATAAAGCTAAAATATGAAAGGAAAACTCTTGTGGCCATAAGTAAGATGAGTGCTTAGGAAATATTGATAAATGAAGATTCCCTGAACCAAATACCAGTAACTGTTAAAAAGAATTTTTTAGACACAACATTGTAAACTGACTATAACTCAATTAAAAAAAATTTTTTAACGGTCCATAGATTCCATTCCCAAAGTTCTTACCACTAGGACGTTCATAAAATAGCCCCCCATCAGAGCATAGACTCCTCCTGAAGCACCCACAAGAGATTTGAGTGGGTCAAAGATGGAGCTGGCAAGGGATCCTAAAGAAATAAAACACAAAGAATCTGATAAGAATCATGAAGGATAAATCCTTCTAATCTAAGGTAAAAGTTGGGGACTCTTGGACCATTATATTAACAAGCAACAAATTTACTTTGTCCCTTCCATATTAGAAAAGTAAAGCTATGTGTGCTAACTACCTCAATTTTTATGAAGCATTAAATGTTCGACATGAAGACAGTATAACAGTGACAAAAACATAGACTCTAAAGCCAGAATTACCAACTGTGTGGCTTGAGCAAGTTTCTTAGCCTCTCTGTGCCTTAGTTTCCCTATCTACAAAATGAGGGTATTGATAGAACTTACCTCAGTGTGTTGTCAGGGGAAGCAAGTGAGTTTACATGTGCATAAATGTTTAGAGCACTGCCTGACATGTATTATATACTTGTTAACTATTGTTTCAAAATATCCTACACGTTTAGCCAAGACTATCAAAATACCTGAGACACTCCAACATTTCATTTCTAATGGCTAGCTTTCTCACGGAGTCAAGGTGTGGTCTCAGAATCCTTCATGACATACCATTCAATCAAATTCACGAAGCAAGGTGAAACCAATTTGCTAACCCAATCTTAGAGTGCCTGAACCAAAGCAAGGCTTTAAAACCACCTTATGCGAACTCTGAGATGTTCTCTGTGCTGCTTAGTTCTGTTACTTATTCTGTTGCCTTCAAGGCCCTCCTTCATTCCTTAGGCTACAGTACAATACAATACCTACTTGGTGCAAAAATGACAGTGTCTGACCTTAGGAATCTTACAAATGGATGAGCAGTTATCATAAAATGCAAAATATAACATTTTTAAAGTGTAATAAATTTCCTATGGAAGCATTTAGGGAAGAATGACTTTCTCAGCAGACAGGTGGAGGCCCTGCTTCTCTGAGAGTGGGAAGATAGCATTTTGATTAAACTCTGAAGACTCTTTAAGATTTGGACAGGGAAAACAAAGGGAAGGAAGATCAGGAGCTTAGGGATCTGGAAAAGCAAAGACATAGAAACAACAGCATATGGATAACTAAATCAGTGGGAAGTAGTCCAATAGGGTTTCAGCAATGGTTCTCAAATGTTAACTTACAGACTAGGGCTGGGGTGCGTGCGTCTTAATAATGAGAAATTTATTTTTAACATACAGATACAAATGTCCTCTTCTGGACAAGATGGGGTAACAAGGATAAGATTTTTCCTCCTGCTTGAAACAGCTCAAAGCAGTGAACAAAATATATGAAACAATGGTCTTCAAGATACTGGATATCAGATAACAAAGGACAGTGAACCCTGAGAAACAAGAAATAAATGAGTTGTCTAGATGGCCAACAAGCACCTGAAAAGATGCTCAACATCACTAACTGTTAGAGAAATGGAAATCACAACTACAGTGAGCTATCACCTCACACCAGTCAGAATGGCCATTATTAAAAAGTCTACAAATGATAAATGCTGGAGAGGGTGTGGAGAAAAAGGAACCCTCCTACACTGTTGATGGGAATGTAAATTGGTACAGCCACTATGGAGGACAGTATGGAAGTTCCTTAAAAAATTAAAAATAGACTTATGATACAATCTAGCAATCCCATTCTTGGGCATTTATCTGGAGAAAAATATAATTGAGAAAGACATATGCACCCCAGTGGTCATAGCACTATTTACAATAGCCAAGACATGGAAACAACCCAAATGTCCATCAATAGATGACTGGATAAAGAAGATGTGGTGTTTATGTGTGTGTGTGTGTACATATATATATACACACACACACACACACACACACATACACAATGGAATACTATTCGGTGATAAAAAAGAATAAAATAATGCCATTTGCAGCAATGTGGATGGAGATCATTATTCTAAATGAAGTAAGCCAGAAAGAGAAAGAAAAGTGCCATTTGATATCGCTTATATGTGGAGTCTTAAAAAAAAGAACAGAAGTGAACTTATTTACAAAACAGAAACAGGGGTAAAGGAGGTGGGAAGGGATAAATTGGGAATTAGAAAATTACACTTCTTGGGGAGTGATGAATATGCTAGCTATCTTGATTGTGGTGGTGGTTTCATCGGTGTATACATCTATCAAAATTCATCAAGTTATACATCTTAAATACATATAGTTTACAGGAACCATACCACAATAAAGGTGTTTTTAAAAAAAAAAAAGATGAGTTGTCTAATTGCCCAGTTTACTGCCTTGGGAGAGATTTTAGGCTGCAGTACATGAAGTGGGGGAAGCTAGGCAGATCACAGTAAACTTTAAGTTGATGAGATAGAGTTTAGCATCTAGGTGCATATAGATCTAGGCAGCTAGAGTTCAGACTGTTTCCAAGTAACTTAACTGAGTTACAGAACAAATCTAAGGAATATTTATAGGCATACAATTATATCCATCATCCAAAGATAAAATGTCTAGCATCCAAACAAAAATTGTCAAACATGCAAAGGAGCAGGAAAATATGACCCCTAATGAAGAGAAATAAATCAATTAAAACCTACCAAAACTGACACAGGTGTTAGATTTTGCAAATAAGGGCAATAAATAATTGTTACAACTATATTCTATATGTTCAATAGTTAAATAGTGACACGTAAGATATGAAACATACTCAAACTTCTGTAAGATGAAAACTACAATGTTTAAGGTGAAAAAATAAACTTGTTGAGTCAGTTGGTAGATTAGACATTGCAGAAGGAAAGATTACTGAACATGTAGACATGGCAATAAAACTATCCAAATAAAACACACAGAAGAATATTTTTAAACTTGTACACAGTATCAATGAGCTGTGGATCAATTTCAAGCCGCCTAATATACATAATTGGAGTCCCCAAAAGAGAGGAAAGAACGCAGATACAGAAAAAATATTTGAAGAAATCATGGCCGAAGTTTTTCCAAAGTTTTATGAAAATTATAAACCCACAGATCCAAGAGCCTCAACAAACCTCAAACACAAGAAACATGAAGAAAACGACACCAAGGCACAACAAAATCACATTCTTAAAACAGTGACAATCTTAAAAGCATCCAGAGTGAAAAAGACATGCTTCATACTGAGAAACAAACAAACAAAAAGGATGACAACAGATTTCTCATTGGAAACAATGCAAATGAGAAAACAGTAGAGCAACATTTTAAAATACCGAAAGAAAAATAATCAAGCTGGAATTCTAAACCTAATAAAGTATATTACAGAAATGAAGGCAAAATGAAGAATTTTTTCAGACATACAGAGGCTGAAAGATTTGATGACTAGCAGACCCACACTACAAGAAGTAGGTTAAAAGAAATCCTCAGGAAGAAGGAAAAAGATAATCAGATGGAAATATGGAACTACACAAAGAAATGAACACTGGAAATGGTTAAGAACATGGGCAAACATACAAGGTTTTGTTCTTATTATCTAAATCTCTTTAGAAGTTCATTGTTTAACAGTTAAATGATTAGACTGACTTCTAGAAGTAATAAGTCAATTTATCAAGATTGGAGGATACAAGATCAATATACAAAAAGTCAACTGTATTTCTGTGTGATAGCAATGAAAAGTCAGAAATACAAATTTTAAAAATAGTGCCATTGACAGTATATAAAAAATATGAAATATAGAAATAAATCTGACCCCAAAATGGTGCAAGACCTTAACACTGAAAACTAAAAACGATGCTGAAAGGAATTTTGAAAGACCTAAATAAATGGAAGTATATACCTTATTCATGGGTTGGAAGACTCCGATATTGTTAAAATGTCTTAAGCTAAAGATTCGGTACAATCCAAATCAAACTCCCAATAGACTTTTTTGTAGAAATTGACAAGGCGATTCTACAGTTCACATGAAAATGCAAAGGACCTAGAATAACCAAAACAACTTTGAAAAAGAGCAAACAAAGTTGGAGCACTAGCATGTCCTGATTTCAAGATTTAAATAGAAAACTACAGTAATCAAGATTGTCGATTGGTTTTTGGTGTTGGTGTAAAGATATATAAATACATGAGTGGAACACAGCAGAAAGTCCAGTTTGTTTCCATATATAAACAAATATATATACGGACAACTGATTTGGACAAGATGCAAACCAGTTCAGTATAGAAAGGATTGTCTTCTCAACCAATGATACTGGTACAATTTGACAGCCACATGCAAGAAAGTGGCACTTCAAACTCTGCACCATGTATAAAAATGGATCATATATCTATATGCAAAGTCTAAAATTATAAAACTTTAAGGACAAAACATAGAGAAAATCTTTGTGACCTTGGGCTAGGCAAAATTTCTTAAATATGATGCTAATCCTAAAATTTGAAAACTGAAAATTATATTTAAATAAATTTAATCAAAATTGAAGATTTCTACTCTTCAGAAGATACTATTAAGAGAATGAGGGGGGAGGGTATAGCTCAAGTGGTAGAGCACATGCTTAGCATGCACAAGGTCCTGGGTTCAATCCCCAGCACCTCCTCCAAATATAAACAAACAAACAAACAAACCCAATTACCTCCCCCTCATCAAAAAAAAAAAAAAAGAATGAAAAGACAAGCAACAGAGCAAGAGGCAGTATCTGTAAGTCATTATATCTGATAAATAACTTGTAATGGGAATATGGAATAAGAAATGTAATTCCATTTAAAAATTTAAACAGATGCTTCACGAAAGAAGATAAAGGGATAGCAACTGAGCACATTAAAAGATGTTCATTATCATTAGGAAATGTAAATTTAAACCCAATGAGATACCTTTATACTCCACCAATTTTGCCAACAGATTGCCTAAAATTAAAAGTCTGATCATACCAAGTGTTGGTGAGAATATGGTGGAACTGGAACTTGTGGTGGGGATGTAAAATTACCACTTTGTTACCATATGCCCTAACAGTTCCACTCACAAGTATGTACACAAGAGGTCCACACAAAAACTTGTACATAAATGTTCATTCACGGCAGTATCATTCATAATGGCCAAAAAATGAAAACACCACAAATGTGCATCAAATGATGAA